AAAAAAAAAAAAAAAGAAAAGGTAAAACAGAAAGACACCTCCTACATAGTTCACCAGGGTTTGAAACCCTGGGGACATTCACGCTGTCTGTGAACCCCACTGGGGGATGCATTCTCTCTCTTCCACTCTCTCTTCCAGTCTATTTCTCTCTCTTGTGTGCATGTACCGTCTAACATAAAACAGCCACAGCAACAACTTTTTTTTTTTAGAATTGTTTTTATTTAACTGTATTTATTTATTTATTTTAATTTGACCAGAGAGGGACAGAGCCAGACAGAGAGGAGGAAAGCAAGCTACAAAGTTGCCAGGTCTGTGACTCGAACCACCACAGTCAGCCATGTGGGAGTCCAGTGCCCCCCAATCACCATGCCAACTGCCAGCCCTCAGCAACAACTTTTTAAAGTTTTGCTACAAGGTATGTGCACTCTTGGAAGAGAGACAGAGATGGAAAGTGAGAAATCCCCCCCTTGGGGGTGGCCATGCCATGCAATCCCTTCTCCTCCACCTCCATGCTCCTCTCAGGATTTGGGGCACATACGCATATGTACCTCGTGTGTTTTTTAAGCTGCTGGGTCCAGGACTGAAACTGTGATGTCAGCCATGTGGGATCCAGCGGCCTTAACTTTCATGCCACCTGCTGGTCCCAACAACTTCCTATGAGTATGTTTTCTTTCTGTCCTTTGTTCCCCTTTTCTCTCTCTCTCTTTTTAATGTCAGAAGTCACATGTGCTCACCAGAAACTGAGAAAGTACCACTCAGCATGGCTACATCACAATTTGTTTTCCTCCATTTTGCCTTCCTATCAAGATGTTGGGCATACACACACATGTGCCTGGTGTGTTTTTCAGGCGGCTGGGACCAAGATTCGAAATCCAGTCAACCATGTGAGATCCAGTTCCCTTAACTGCTGAGGTACAGGCTGTTTGGCACTCTTTTTAGAAAAGATGCTGGTCTCCACCCCTTGAATTGATTGCACCACCTAATAAAGGGTCACTCCTATCACCTTAGGGTAGTCTAGAGACTAGAGGGCTCATTTACACCCTAATCTTGGGACAACTGCTACAAGATTCCTGGCTCTGCCCAAGACTTAATGAATGAGAATCTTACTGGAAAGTCTGTGTGTTTAATCACCCTCACCACACCCCCCCCTCGCCCAGTCTCCTGCTATCCCCCCACTACACACACACACACACACACACACACACACACACACACACACACACAGTGATTCTGATACTTGATAAAGCTTGAGAGGCTCAGCCTGGGAGTTTTGCTTTGTTTTGTTTGCTACTGGGCATGTGCATTTGTGGGAGTGGGGGGGAGAGAAAGAGACAGAGAGAGGCAGGGAGAGGGAAAGTGAGAAATCACTCCTCAGGCGGACATACCGCAATCCCTTCTCCATTCTCCTCCTGGGATCTTGGGCATGCATGCACGCATGCACGCACAAGTACCCTGTCTGAGTTTCAAGTAACTGAATCTGGGACTTGAACTGTGGTCAGCCAAGTAGGAGTCCAGCAATGTAACTACTATGCCATCTGCTGGCCCCAGCTAGGGAGTTTTTGAATATCCTGGGCCTGGTGAGGATACGTATCATGCAGGGACTTGTTAGGAGCTGAGCCTCTAGCTCCAGTTCAACTCAGCCCATGAGTGGTAGAACAGATGAACCCGACTTCCTAAAAGTAAGTGCACCCCTCCTTAGCCCTTTGCATTTGCTGATCCCTCCTTCTGGAAGCACCTCTAACCACAAGCTGCTGTCTTATAGACTCCTGCCTTCCTAGGGCCACTGGCTGCTCCAAGATCACACCCCACTGAGGGCCTCCTCCCTTCTCCCAAGGACCCCAATCCCTTGTTCCTTCCCCTGCTCCCCACAGCCTCTTTTTTTTTTTTCAGCCTTTACACAAAATCACCTCCTGCTTTGTTTTCACCTTAAGGTTTAATAATCCTCCACCCAAGTCCTTGGAACAAAAATATTCTAACTACTCTCTAATTACCATGGCCCATTTCCATCTCCAACCCCAGAGGAGGGTAGATGCCTTTCTGAGGCTGACCCCACTTCACTGGGATGCGCTGGGAAGCTCCTTTTCTTTCTTTCTTTCTTTTCATTTTTTTTTTCTGAGAGAGAGAGAGAGAGAGATTTTTGCTATAGGATGTGTGCACTCGCTGGAGAGACAGAAAGTGAGAAATCACCTCCGGGGAGATGGCCATACCACAATCCCTTCTTGGTTTTCCTCTTGGGATTTTGGGCATGCACACACATGTGCCCAGTGTGAGTTTTAAGATGCCAGATCCAGGACTCGATCTGCAGTTGACTATGTGGGAGTACAGCAATGTAATCTTTATGCTATCTTCTGGTCCTGGAAAACTACTTTTTTTTTTTTTTTGGAGAGGTTTTCCCTATAGGGTGCGTGCGCTCGCCAGACAGACAGAGAGAGACATAGAGACAGAAAGCGAGAAATCACCCCCCAGGGGGGATGGTCACGCCGCAATCCCTTCTCCTCCATTCTCCTCTCGGGATCTTGGGCACGCACGCACACGCGCCCGGCGTGAGATTTAAGCCACCGGGTCCGAGACGTGAACCGCGGTCGACTACGTGGGAGTCCAGCAACATAGCCATTACGCTAACTGCTGGTTCCCTGGAAAACTACTTTTAATACCAGGAATGAGGCATCCCCTTCAACAAAAAATGTCACCCAACTGAGGTTCTGAAAACTGCAAGTATATTTGCAGGTCCTCACACATATAATAAGAACACATATTGTCCCCTAGCACTTATCAGATGTCCAAGTTAAACACCATGCAGACAAGATCTCCTTTAGTTCTTCGGAATTTTTAAAAAAGTCTACTTATTACTTGAGAGAAAGAGAGAGCCCGAGACCTTTGAAAGGGTCTCGCCATGCCATGATCTTTCTGTCCCAGCCCCTCGGCCAGCCATGATCACAGGTGCACACCACTATGCCTGACATGTTCAGGTTGCCCAGGGATCAAAAACAGGCATCCAGGGCCAGCAGGTGGTGTAGTGGTTACAACAATGGACTCCCACGTGGCTGATGGCAGTTTGAATCCCAGATCCGGGGGCTTGAAAATCATACTGGGTGCATATGCATGCATGCCCAGAATCTCACGAAGAGAATAGAAAAGGGATTGTGGCATGGCCATCCCCCTGGGGGGTGATTTCTCACTTTCTCTCTAACTGTCACTGTCTAAGTGGCCTCAACATTGTGTAGTGCTGCCCAACCACTTGTGCCACCATGGCTGGGGCAATCTAATTTAATTCTTGTAGCAGACCTCAGAGGTAGATACTGTTCACCCCCACTGTAGAGAGGAGGAAATTGAGACACACACACCCCCAAGAGACCAAGTAATCTGGTCAAAGGGGATGTCCATGCTGCAATTCCTTCATCCTCCATTCTCCTCTCCCAATCTTGGGAAAGCATGCACGTGCGCCCAGCATGTTTTTCCAGTTGCAGACCCAGGACTAGAACCATGCAGCTGACCATTTGGGGTCCAGCCACCTTATCTACCATGCCAACTGACTGGCCCAGTCTTCTAGCTGATTTAGAAAAAGACTACATATTGGGACCAGCAGATGGCATAATGGTTACAGTGCTGGACTCCCACATGGCCTACCATGATTCAAGCCACGAACTCAGTAGCTTAAAATTTATGCTGGGTGCGTGTGCACACGTGCCCAAAATTCCAAGAGTGATGCCGTGTGGTCATCCTCTGGGGGGTGTGGGGAGTGATTTCTCACTTTCTGTCTCTTTGTCTCTCCAGCGAGTGCACATACCCTACAACAAAACTCTCTAAAAAGAAAAAAAAAGAAAGAAAGAAAAGAAAAATAACATAAAATAATATATATTAATCATAATAACCTTAAGTCAAACTGTTTGGGCTCCAATCTCATTACTATCAATTAGTAACTGTGACCTCTAACAAGTGACTAAATTTCGATACAAATGGGATCATAATAGTACTTCCTCTGTATTGTACTATTAGCAAATGTTCAGTGATTGCGGCCTCCGTGTGCCAAATATTGTTTTACATGTTCTAACTTATTTACTTCTCAGCCCAAGTCTAAGTGGTTGGCACTCATCCTGTATACAGCGGAGACCACTGAGGGGTACTCAGCGAGTAACTCTGTAAGATTTGAGCTCAGACAGTAGGACGCTCCTCGCTCCTCAAAAGCTGCCTCTTCAAAAGTGCTGTCGTGAGGGTCACATTGCACACTTGCAAAGCCCTTATAACCAAAGTCTGGCACTAAATAAGCGTTCAATAAAGTTGCCTATGCTCCTGTTAATATGTGGTGTTTCATGTTTGTTATAAAACAAACACGTGTAGAATGAGATTTAATCCAACAAAGAATCAAAAATACTGCTGAAGCGGGCGGAACGCTGGCCGGGATCCGACTGGGGTGCGCCACAGGGCGGGTGGGAAGAGCAGCGCAAGAGCGCGCGGGCGCACCAGGCGGGGCGGGGGGTGCGGGGGCGGGGTCAGGGAAGCCCCGCCCAGCAGCCACCTGCGGCAGGTGGAGCG